GGGGGGGGGGGGGGGTGGACTGAAGACAAAGCTCCAAATATATAGTGGACTGGTTGGAATGGAAAGTGGGAAGAATATTGACATGCATGACATAGGACAAGAACAAGATGGAAAGGCGCGAGGGTTGACTGCTGTTGGGGCGATGCCAAGAGTACTCCTGAGCATTTGGATGAATTTCATGCTACGCATCATGCAAGTCGCCGACCAATTATATACCAAGCATGATTCAGAGTTGCATCCAAAACAGTCTTTGATCGTATCCACCACAGTATTGAAATCGCCGCACAACACGGTCGGGGTGTCTGGATCAAGCAATTGTTATAATGATTCAAAGAAAGCAGACACAGGTTTTGTGTTATTTGGAGCATATATGTTCACCAACTGTATCAAATTACCAACCTTGGAAAACTCTATATGCAAAAGCCTGACAACATCATAACCAGGATTGTATAAAATGGCAACCCCACAACTTAGTATGGTTTCCGGAGAAGAAATGCATCTGTAACCAAACGTATTACTGCCCGACTAGGTGGCTTTATCCAACCAGGATGAAACGTCTTCCTCTGAAATTGAACGAGTCTCCTGTAGGCACACAAAATCAGTTTTAGAGCAATTTGCCCACTGAAACAACATTGGTCTGTGATCACCTGTGTGCAGACCCCGACAGTTTAGTGTGATAAATGTTAACTTGCTCATGCCGATTTGTTATAAAGGTCAAAACAAGGGCACAAGTTTAAAAAAATTCTGATGTTAAAAAGAAGGATCTCCAATCCTCTTTGTTACCGGAACTGCAAAGGTTGCAGGATCGATCAGAGATGGAGATTGCGAATCAAGATTTTCCTTCCTGGGAAGGTTAGGTGGAATTTGAGTTCAGGAAAAATCTGAGTATCATTTTGCTGAGCCATGCTAAGATCTGAAACATTTTTGTTGCCCATAGACGGTTCCATATTATTACCACCACCATCCTCATCTCTGTTTTCAGAAGCGTTGATGCAGGGTGTACCAATGACCCCAGAGGCAATAGGCGTAGAGTCGTCCACAGCAGGAGTAGAAGGAATAGGTTAAGAATCATCCACAGTAGAAGGAAAAGCATCCTTGCCTTGCGATTTGTGAGTACGAACCATCCTCTGGACAGATGTACTGCTGCCAGATGGAACTGCAACACCAGTTGCATTGTGATCAATGGTTGTGTGATCAATTTTGAATGTACGTTTTCCAGGTATTCAAGGTTCGAATCCAGCATAGAACAGTAAACGAATCTGTCCACAACAAAACACTTAACTAGTCTCGCAAGTATAACTGCACCTAACAGTTCAAGCCTTGGTATTGATTTTTCTTTACCGGTGCAACTCTCGTTTTCGAGGCGACGAGTCTGATGTCAGTTCCTCCATATATATATACACAGTTCTCAGATATACCACCGCCGTGTATGCTTTACACAAGGCATCAGAAAAACCATGAAGCTTGAAAATAAGTGGGTGATTAGAAGTGGTGAAATAACATATCGGTATCCTAAATGGTCTTAAACTTTACAAGTTGTTTATTATCATGTTCCATGATTTCAATGCTTCCCCTGTTAAGGGTGCATCTCAAACAACATTCTCGATGCACAGCATTTGAAATAATGCTTTCATAGCATTCATAAATGCGGAGAGAAATCTCAAAGGATCAAAAATCTTTGTTAACAAATTTAAAACCGATCGCTTAGTTGCATGTATAGTTTTTGCATATCTACATAGCTTCAATAGATTGTACTCAAATTCATCAACATTCCAGGAAACTCCAAGAATTTTAACAGAATCTTCTTCGATTTCATTAATTGTTTTAGGGTTTTTGTTGTTTGAAATGAAACGGATTGTTAATGGTTAAACTGTCCGAAACATTGGTTTTTGAATTGTCATCGACTGTTTTTCTCTTACTGCCATTAAGCTCCATTTGGCATTTCTGTTGTTTGCTTTAACTCCCAAGGGTATTTTCATGTTGTTCTCAAGGATAATGAGTACAAAAAATATTGAGCGCCACAACTTCCCCATGAGATATAGAATGGTCCACCCCTACCCCTTACAACACAGAACCTTAACCACTATCACAACCTTAACCCCAATTGCAATCTTACCCCAGACCACAACCCCACACGAAACCTTAAGCCCAAAGACAATGCCACTCCACACTATGCAGAACCTTAACCCCAATCACAACCTTAACCTCAATTACAACCTTACCCGAAACCACAACCCCACCCGAAACCACAACCAAACTCCATGCAGAACCATAACCCCAATGACAACCTTTAACCCCAATCACAACCTTACCCGAAACCACAACCCCACCTGAAACCACAACCCACCCCAAACTCCGCGCAGGACCTTAACACTAATCACAAGCTTAACCCCAATTACAACCTCACCCCAAACCCCACCCAAAACCCTAACCCCAACCCACCCCAAACGCCATGCAAAACCTTGATTGAAATAACAACCCCAACCTGTACCCCGCAGCTTCAACCCCACCATACATACAAACATTGGGAAGTCAAACATAAAATTTCTTTTGTCGCTCACCATAGGGCCCTCAACTGGACTGTTTTTTATTATTTTTTGCTTTTATGGAGGTTGTAGATGGTACATCCGAAGGGTGGCACGACAACAACAACAAAGGAATCCCCTGCACCAGCAGTCACCTTCTCAAACTGAGTTGCTTTCTCTTGGCCAAAGTGCTAGTGTTAGTATATGTACCTCAAAAAATGCTGTTTTATAGTATATTTGAGACAAAGTGAATAAATTAACAAAGATAGGAGTTTTGAATAATGCTATTTTTAAACTCTGAAGGAATATAATGTGTTTACTAGGAAAGATACAGTTTTAATTGATTGTATATAATTTAACATAACCACACCAGGTAGCTTGTCCACACTCCAGTGTGGGTTGAAAGGATAGCAATGAGAGTACAATTCAGAGGTTTTCTATACGTGTTGTATGTATTGTAGAGTGGCAGCAGTTCGTTTTCATAAATTGTTCATTGTTTATTTTTTTGTTGAAACGTAGGAAACAGAGTTCTTTGTTGGGATATAATGTTCTACAGTAGGCACAGTGTACTGATGCATCATTAGCTGAGGTTTCCGTCTATGTTTTGAAACAGTCGCAGTGAATAATATGTTGACAACATGGCGTTTTTGGTGGTGAACAGACAAAAGTGGTGGTCTTCTTTTTCGATGTTGTCTTCCTCATGTTTACAACAATATACTGTTTTTTTAGAACAAAATTTTACCATGGTTACGCCAATGGCTGAGTGATTAATAATACACATAGTAAGCAGCTGAAAAAGGTTTTTACGAGCAAATCTTTTGAAACCAAAAAATTTATATAAAAGGAATACAACAAACACAAAATGTTCAACAATTATGTATAAATATGTTTAACATATATTATAAGCACTAAAAGAAGTGTCCACGCACAAAGTCAATAAGTTTTATAAGCATTTATAAAAACAGTTCGTTCAATTCTTTTTCATCATTTGTCCATGATAGATCATGCAATAACATATTCGAGTTGAACATATCCAAGTCGAACATATCCACGTCAAACATATCCAAGTTGAGCATATTTAAGTTGAACATATCGTAGTGTTGTTCAAGTATTGCTTGAAGAGGATTGGTTTGCTGTCCAGGTACTGCTTGAAGAGGAATGGCTTGCTGTTTCAGGTACAGCTTGAAGAGGATCGGTTTGCTGTTCAGGTACTGCTTGGAGAGAAATGGCTTGCTGTTCAGGTACTGCTTGAAGAGGATTGGTTTGCTGTTTTCAGGTTCTGCTTGAAGAGGACTGGTTTGCTGTTCAGGTACTGCTTGAAAAAAATCGATTTGCTGTTCAGGTACTGCTTGAAGAGGATCGGTTTGCTGTTCAGATACTGCTTGAAGAGGTATGGATTGCTGTTCAGGTACTGCTTGAAGAGGATTGGTTTGCTGTTCAGGTACTGCTTGAAGAGGAATGGCTCGCTGTTCAGGTACTGCTTGAAGTCGAATGGTTTGTTGTTCAGGTACTGCTTGAAGAGGATTGGTTTGCTGTTCAGATACTTCTTGAAGAGGAATGGGTCGCTGTTCAGGCACTGCTTGAAGAAGAATGGTTTGTTGTTCAGGTACTGTTTGAAGAGGAATGGCTCACTGTTCAGGCACTGCTTGAAGAAGAATGGTTTGTTGTTCAGGTACTGTGCAGAATTTAGAATTACACAAATGTGTCTAATTTCCAGCAGGGTCGATCACAAAACTGTTTGCTTCATTGCTTGCAGTGGTTTGCTTGGAAATATCAAATATTCATGATAACATTAACAATGTCAGTGCAATTATAACGTATATATCACTAAATATTAGTAGCATTTCGCCATTTCATAGATAAGTAGAATAGTAAAGATAACTTATAACTATTCTGATATAAATGCGCATTAAAAGTTTACATTAACCTGTAACTGAAGAGTGACTAGTCTGCAGTATTCATGAAACACGATTAGTTCTAATTGTTAGGCGTTAATTAGTCTAATTGATGAAGTAGATGGACATGTAAGACTGTAAAGCCTAAAAGCCTCCCTCTTAAACAAATGTTTAAATGTACAACTGTTGTATTAATAACAAAATGAACACAGTTGACTTGTAGTTGAGTTCTCCACTGTTCATATGAATCATATGCATTTACAGTAAGTACGGAAGCTTGGCAGGAGTTACCGACAGCCTTTTGAGTACCTTTGACAAATCAGTGGAAGACTTTGCCTTAAAGACAGGGATGTGATGTCGTTTTATACCTAGTGTCTTGTTGCCATTGATGTAGATCTTAGCCGTTTCTGTCAACGCCCTTTCACACTGTAAGATGGGTGGGAAACACCAGTCAACTTTCGCGTGGTTGCTCAGAACTTCTAAGCTTTGCCCGCCGTCCATTTCCTGTTTTTCTACCACTCGGTAGAATGATTCAGTGACAGCTTCGGTTCCAGTCTTGGCATACATGATATCGTAAATCAAGCACAACTCCTGCCGATCTTGGTATAGATGCGAGAGTCAGTGTAAAGGGACTCGATGAACCGATCTTCTTTGAAGACTACAGTGTGGGCAACACCTGAACTCAGCGTTACGTTGAATACATCAGACAGGTTGAACTCCGTAACAGACGCTACCTGGAAATCCAGCAAGTACTCGTTTTGCTTCAACTGCAATTCTTTAAGCTTTTTCTCTTCAAGGACCTCAAAAAACGTAGGAAAATGTTCCACAAAGGCATTTCCCCATACCAACTTAATGAGAAAATCCTTTAAACCAGAAAAGACAGTGCTGCTAGTTTCTTCACAGAGGCTCAGATTCAAGGCAGCAACATGTGGGAGACGACCAACGAAGCCTACCACTCTACGGAATTTGTTTGCGCCAATGTTCGCAAACTTATTCTTGTTGACAGCTACCTTAGTCGGGTTATCTCTTGTTCCTTGAAAGGCCAGGGAGCAAAACACCAAAATCAAGGCAAACATGGAGTAAATCATTGATTTTCGGAGAACAATTCTTGTATCGTTCATCTAGCTCATTGATCATACCAGCAGCCAACGACTTTAGATCTTTCCTGCAATCTTCAGGTTCTTGTGCTATCCACTTATAACAACCACCACCACCATCATCGTCATCGTCACAATCGTCATCGTCACCATCATCTTTTGGACGGCCATTCTTGTCTTGCAGTATCCACCCGCGCACCAACACAGTTCTAGCATATTTGAACTGCTCTGTATCTTTTGCGTGCTTATGAAGCAACAGGCAAATCGATTTTTCTGGCTTTGGTTTCACAACCTCTTTCTCGAATCGTTTAAGCTGCGCTTTGACCCGCTTCACGTATGCTACAAACTTCCAGCCTGGGCACCATTCTTGCTTTCAGCATTAGGACAACCAAAGGCCACAGGAGGTCGATCAAGCCACATAAATCGTAAACAAAATCATTGCCACACAACTTGTACAGGATATCAGGTTTATTGTGGTGGTCTTTGAATGTTTCAGGATAAGCTTCATAGCTTCTCTGAAGATTCATTAGTGACAAATAGCTACTGCTCATGAAATGCTGGGGAGCATAAGAATTAGTGACAAGGAATGGTAACTTCAATTCTTTTGCTGTCACCTCAGCAACGGGATGCATCTTGCCATGCCTGAATAGCTGATGGAACATAGCAACACGCCCAAGAAGACGAGTTATCAACTCGGAATCATGGAACTTGGAAAACACTTTGTCCAGCCAATGACCTGGGTCCCACTGACATTCCCACCAGATGTCTTGCAAAAGAATTTTCTGATCTTCTTTATCACATCTTTCTCGAAGAACTTCAAAGATTGGCTCATTCATGGCACCTACGAATGGAGCATTGACGTATCGACTGTCCGTAACTTTCCCTTGCATGGACATCAGACTCAACCCCTCAACTTTGGCATGGAATTTAAGGTCAGAAAATATAGCTGCAGCCAATTCCCCACCATGTCCACCACTTCCGTCGGACGAGGAATAGACCAGAGTCAAACCAAGTGGGATACCGCATCTTTTCCCATCGACAACAGGACAAGCCAAAGTTACTTGATTTGACTCTGGGTGGTTTGTTGACTTGTCAGTGGTTGTATAAAAATGCGGGGGCAGACCAGTACTTGGAAGATTAGTGGACAAAAACCGTTACGTTTCTCTGTTGATGTAACTGCATGCTACAGCGATCATCTGTGGAAAAAGAACTCTGGAATGTCCAAAGTCTCCTACATCAGCGCCAGCATTATGCAACTCCGCAATTCTTGTTTCGTAGTGAATGGCTGCAGATTTTGATTGAACCACTCCGATGGCAGTGCGAAGCTGGTTTCGAATCACTTTCAATTTTCTTGCATTCACTGGAATCATCTTTCTAGCATGTCGCGCGGCATTGGCATGGGTCTGTGAAGCATCGATGATATGATTCAGCAATCTGCTTTTGAAGTTATACCACTTTTGGCATCCACCATCGCAATATAATTTGTAGTCGCCGTTGCTAATTACAAGACCGGATATTAGTGATGTACCAAGAGCAACAGAAGGTTTTCTCGGTAATTCAGACAATGCGACTGGGTCATTAATATAAGTGAAGCAAGTGTTACATCTTATGACATGGACTTCGCCTCCGAAATTAGTTCGTAATCATGAGATTCTGATTCCAAAAACGAGGTCAAGTTGGTGCATGAAGGTGAGTTGGTGCACACAGAACCACTGGACTGACTTGAGTGCTTGGAACTTCCTATTATGCGTGCAGAGATTCTGTCCACTATATAATCTAAATTTTTCTTACTTAAAAGGTTTACACCCGATTCTTGTATGGCACTCAGATCAGAAAGAAGAAAGTTAGTGATGGACGCCTGAGCACTGTTTAATGACGAACTCATCTTTGGTAGCTTTGTACTCGGCCCATCAACATCGTTTTCATGGTCTTCAACTGAAATACTAAAATTGTAAAACCATTTGTTTGACTGTAAATACTGTAGGTTTGTTTCAGTGAAATTCAAATGATAATATGTCGCCTGCGGGCAACAGGAAAGTATAGAATTGTTCATCACTTTTGTCAGTAAAAAAACTTCATCAGCTTACCTTGTTACTTTTCGTTTTTCAGCTGTGGTTTCAGATGGAGCACTCTCTGCATGTGTTAACTCACCAGGAGCGGTTGGAGCGCTATTTTTGGAACAAATAATATTTTTCAGATTGCAAGTGGAAACTGTTTGAATCATTTTCACTCCTTTGCAGGCTGCTGATAAAACTATAATTTTGTTTGGTAGTACACCAACTTATATTTTACTATAGTGTAACTATCTAGACTTCGGCACTTCACTGACGCTGCGTTTTATTTAGATGCAGGTATACATATGCGTTACGCGTATATGAGTATATATGGCTGCTTCCACATACAAATTATACTAAAAATGTTGCCTTCTAAGTCTAAATAAATAGAAGTGTAATTGCTCACTATTAAATCTCGCACCTTTGACTTTCAATTGCAGCTTGTTTATCTCTTGTATCCATATAAACATGTGAAGTAGCAGGGACTTCATCTGGGCGGTTTGTGGTAGGTCTGAGGTCAGCTTGGTCATCTGGTTTTCTACTCTCATCAGTCTCGTGTACTGTTGATTTTGAAACAATTTTCTTTGAATGCGTAGCCGTATACGTACTTGCACTTGAATCTGATGATTTCAACAATGATTGATCTTTTGATTTGTTTGCTTTCACGGCTTCAACAGCTTTAGGGTTGTCTTCAGCAACAAAATAATTCCAGTAGTCGTCAATACTTACGTTTCACTTTATTTATTCCTTGCTTTAGTTGTCTTCACATTCGTGAAGGTAACATTTCCCTTATTGGCCTCAAGATCAACAAGATTTGGGTCTATAAAAATGTTATATTTATTTTACTGCAGTTTATTTTAATAGCCTCAATTCAGGGAATATGCAACAGCGCAAACCCACTCTCCTCCGCAGAGGCATTTTTGGCTGGCCTAAAGTTATACATATACAGTTATAACACCTGATTACTGCCTACTTGGCTACTGGTATACGGTAATTTCACTGGCCTCGGCCCTCGGGGTGGCAGAACGTAACCATTACAGATATACTTACACTACTGTAACCACAATGCAAATATTATTGAAACATTAACTATAAACGGCAGTAACTAATGTTATTTGCATGTTACTTGTTAGTAATAAATTAAACATGTATTAAATAAAATAGTAAAATAGTATTATATACTAATTTTCAAGAGTACTGTTTAACATACTCATGTCTTTGCAATTAAAGCATAATACAGGTTTTCCAAATCCTTCCTCGCCGACTGGTTCACCACAGAATGTGTGACATGGGTTTTTACAAGAAATACAGCTATGTCCACCATCATATTGTTGCTTACACACAACACACAGTGATACTGGAATAAATAAATAATAAAATATAGAATTGAAAAACTTCATCATCAGCACATTTATTCATTTTCATAATCCTAGTTAGCCTGTGAATATAGCCGGTAATCGCTAGATTCCAGGCAGTTCAGTTGTTTTGTTTGTGCATTATTTGAATTTGCTTTTACTGTTTACATGTACAAAATGCCATAATTCATAAAGTCAAAATTAACAACTGCCGAACTGCGAAAAGAGTAACTAAGTTCTTTAATTTTGATCTTACAGTTACAGGTCAGGCCATCAAATTTCTCAAGAGTTTTACCTTTTTCCTGTTTGTTTGGTACAGTTTCCATAGTTTTTTCCCTTAACGCATAGGCCTTAGCCGATTTTTAGTGTCCATTAGTGACACATGTGACATTTCCTAAAAAGAGGCAGAATAAACACAAATTACTAATAATATATGCTTTTTTTTGCTTTTTGTAACATCAAAAATACACAATGTTTATCTTTTGAGTAGAGTAGGCTGAGTAGCCAGGTTCAAGTTAGAGTTTACCTTATTCTTGAAGCTTGAAAAATCTTTCGACTCTTTTATGCCTTGTTTTTTAAACGTTTTATGCCGTATTCCAACCTCCGAAAAACTGGAGTGGAGTCCAAATGCCATTGTTATGCAATGCTTGATGTGAAACATGTGACGTGTACAATGCATGATAGAATCATGTCTTGCTCACGTGCAGGTGATATATGACGTTTTTCATTACCTACCTGAACTTTTCACTGGTGAACCAGATATGAATTCAGGAAATTTCTCCAGTAAGAATATTAAATATTAGATTTTCAAAACAAAGCCATTTTGCATGGATTGACAGGAATTTTTGCGCGGATTTTCAAAACAAAGCCATTTTGCGCGGATTTCCACAATTGGAAAAATTTTTGCGCGGGAAATTAATTCCCTGCAAAGCTACTACTTTACAGTCTGGTCGCTGTTCAGGTACTGCTTGCAGACAAATGGTTTGCTGTTCAGGTTCTGCTTGAAGAGGAATGGTTTGCTGTTCAGGTACTGCTTGAAGAGGATTGGTTTGCTGTTCAGGTACTGCTTAAAGTGAATGAGGCATTTTTTAGTAAAAGTTGGCAATACATGAATTCT